TTTAGGGGCAATGCAAGAACAAGACAAATGCAAGTTCTCAATCTTAGAAGGAAGTATGAGACATTGAAGATGAAGGAGGCTGATGAAAGTGGTGAACAAAATAAGGTTATTAGGGGATGAAATGCCTGATAAACATGTGGTAGAAGAAGTTCTGATTAATTTTCCTGAGAAATTTGAGGTAAAAATCTCCTCACTTGAAGATTTTAGAGATTTTTCTACCATAACCTTATCAGAACTTATAAATGCCTTGCAAGCTACTGAGCAAAGTAGGTTGTTTAGGTAAGAAGAACAAGTTGAAGGAGCCCTATTTGTCAAGGGGATTTATAAAGCTCAAACAAACTTTGGAGTTAAAAAACAACAGCCTGAAAAGAGGAAAGTTGAAAACAGAACTGCAGGCAAAAATAAAAGTTATCCACCCTGTCCTCATTGCAAGAAAACTGGCCATTCTCCCAAATGGTGCTGGTACAGGCTAGGAGTCTAATGTAGAACATGTAAGCAGTTTGGACATGTTCAAAAAGTTTGCAAAAATCAGAAAGAGAAGCAAGATTCACAGCAGGCTGAGGTCGCGGAAATTAACCAGCAGAAGGAGCATCTGTTTACATCCATGAATGTGAAGACTTGCAGTAGTGATGAAACATGGTTGTTGGAAAGTGGATATACTCACCATATGACTTCCAATCCTAGTATTTTTTTTAAAAGCTAGGTGAGGTCTACAGATCAAAGGTTAAAGTTGGAAATGGAGAGCTTGTGGAAGGTAAAGGTGTTGGTGAAATCTCGGTGCAAACCTCTTCAGGTATCAAGTATATCTCTGATGTTCTATATGTGCCTAATATAGATTAAAACTTAATTAGTGTTGTTTAGTTAATTGAGAAAGATTATACACTAATCTTGAAGGATAAAGGTTGTACTATATTTGATTCATAAAATCAAGAAGTGCTAACAGTTGGAATGAGATATATGAGCTTCCCTTAAGAATGGAAAAATATGAATGATCAGGCACATGCAGGCACTGTAATAGAACCTTCATTATGGCATAAACGGTTTGGACATGCTAACTATACATCACTTAAACAAATGCATGAATTGGAATTAGTTGAAAGTTTACCTGAAATCAAGAAAAACGATGGATATGTGTATGAAATTTGTCAATTGGGAACGCAAACTAGGTTGTCTTTTTCTAAAAATCAGTCAAGAAGGGCCTCAAATAAGCTGTAATTAATTCACTCTGATGTATGTGGTCCAATGAGTACACCTACACTAAATGGTAGTAAGTACTTTGCATTTTTTATTGATAACTTGACAAGCACGTGTTAGGTATATTTTTTGAGGTTGAAGTCTGAAGTTGCTGGTGTATTTCAATGGTTTAAAAACCTAGTGGAAAATGAGAGCAATTGCAAAATTAAAGCTATAAGATCAAACAATGGAACAGGGTAATACTGCAGCCATTTTGATAAGTTATGTGAAGATATGGGAATACAACATCAGCTAACAATTCCTTATTCTCCTCAACAGAATGGTGTTTGTGAAAGGAAGAACAGAACTATCATGGAGATCGCTAGATGTTTGATGTTGGAAAGGAAGGTACCTAAAGAATTCTTGGCTGAGACTGTGAATACTACAGTCTATTTGGTCAATAGGTTGCCTACAAAATCATTGGACAAGAAGACACCTTTTGAAGCCTGGTATGGAATAAAACCTGACGTCTCTCATCGGAAGATATTTGGCAACCTTTGTTACACTTACATACCTGATGTGAAGAGAGATAAATTGAGCCAAAAAGCTGAGGTTGGAATTCTAGTTGGTTACTGCGGTAATGCCAAAGGTTATAGAGTCTTCAATCTACAAAGCAAGAAAGTAATCTCCAACTGGGACATCAAAGTAGATGAAGAAGCCTCATGGAATTGGGAATCATCTGTAATCAATCAACCTCAGGTTCCAAATGTTATTCATCAGACAGTTAACACTGATGTAAATGAAGAAGAAAAGGGAACTGGTAGTGATTCAAACTCTGAAAATGAAGTGCTAAGAACAAGACCACTCGTTGATGTATATGCCACATGTAATTCAGCTCAATTGGAACCTTCAAACTTTGTTGAAGCTGATAGTTCTAAAGAGTGGATGGCTACAATGAAGGAGAAACTAAACATGATTGAAAAGAATGGAACTTGGCTACTGGTTGACAAACCAAAAGACAAACATGTAATTGGAGTGAAATGGGTGTATAAATCGAAGCTGAATCTAGATGGCTCGGTGAATAAACTTAAGGCCAGGTTGGTAGTGAAGGAATATGCTTAACAATATGGTGTAGACTTCAATGACATGTTTGCACCAGTAGCTAGGTATGAAACCATCAGATTGCTATTTGCCATTGCAGCTCATAGAGGCTAGAAGATATACCAATTAGATGTCAAGTTAGCATTTCTGAATAGACGCTTGGATGAAGAAATATACATTGAACAGCCTAAAGGTTTTGAAGTTACAGAGAATGAGAAGAAGGTATATTTGCTAAGGAAGGCTTTGTATGGTTTAAAACAGGCTCCAAGAGCCTGGTACAGCAAGATCGATGAACACCTAAGCATACTTAGTTTCTTAAGGAGTATCAATGAACCAACTCTGTACATAAAGAAAGAAAAGAAGAGATGATCATCATCTCATTGTATGTTGATGATCTCTTAATTACTGGCAACAGTTGTTCAATGATTAAGAATGTGAAGGATAAACTTAAAATGGTACTTGAAATGACATATTAGGGGGAGATGCACTATTTTCTTAGCATGGAGATATTCCAAACTCAAAATGGTATATTTGTTTGCCAAAGGAAATATGTCAGGGAGATGTTGGAAAAGTTCAATATGGAGAACTGCAAGTCAATAAGTACTTCATTGGTTCAAAATGTGAAATTGATAAAGGATGGTGGAACCAAGAAAATAGAGGAAAAGGTGTATAGAAGCATAGCTGGATGTCTGCTATACTTAACCTCTACCAGACCTTATCTCACATTTGCAGCCAATCTTCTATCCAGATTTAGACAAAAACCAAGTGAACTTCATTTCCAGGTAGCAAAGAGAGTGCTAAGATATGCAAGAAATACTGAGGAAACGGGAATTTGGTTCAGGAAGTCAGAAACCATGGATTTAATTGGCTATACACATAGTGATTGGGCAGGATCCTTTGATGATATGCAAAGCACTTCAGGTTATGCATTTTATTTGGGATCAAGTATTATTTGCTGGAACTCAATGAAGCAAAAAATGGTAGCTCAATTGACTGCTGAGGCAGAATACATTACAGCTTCAGAGGCAACTAACCAAGCTATTTGGTTGAGGAAAGTATTAGAAGATCTTAGCCATAATCAATCTAATACAAATGAGATCTATTGTGACAATCAATCAGCTATTGCAATGGTCAAAAACCCAATATTTCATGGAAGGACCAAGCACATTAAGATCAAATATCATTCAATCAGGTTAGCACAAGAAAATGTTGAAGTGAAGCTGGTGCACTGCAGTTCTTTTGACCAATAGGCTGATATTTTGACTAAGGCCTTACCAAAGGATAGGTTTGAAACACTAAGAAAATGTCTTTGTGTTTCCAACAAAAGTGTCAAGGAGGAGTGTTGAAGGCAGCCGTATGTATGACACTTTTGTTGTCACTTAACAAATATTTTTGGTTACCATTAGTCACATGTTTTTGGTTGAAGTCTAACTTATGTAATGATGTAAAGTTATGCTAGTTTGGACCTACTACAAGTTAGTGTATTGTCAAGTATGGTTTAGCATTAGTATGTAAGATAGTTGGTGATAGAAAACACTTTTAAATTGTACTTAAGAATGGCTATATATGCTACCTGTGTAACATAACTTTTATTAATGAAACTCTATGCTTTTCCTCCTCTTGTTTGTGCAAAAACCATCAACAATAACCTAAAAGGCAAAAAATAACTTTCTAAAGAGAGGACCCCACGAACCATATCCATTGTTAATGGCATCAGACACTACTGCTACCACACCTACCATATTTGGATTATCAGAGTGATTGGTGGAATGAGAAGGGTCGTCCATTTGAAGAGGTAGAGCTTTCCAAACTCTGCATCATCAGCAACTTTTGTCGTTACAGTGAAGTTTGTGTCAACACCAACAAGGACCTTGAAAAGACCTCGGAAGACTGCAAAATGATTTGCTGAGACACCACCAATGACCCAGAATTGCTCATTGCGCCACCAGTCATCAATGCTATACCATTCTATCGAAGCTCAAGCACATCCGTCACTATGATGGAGAGGAAAATAGACATAAACCATATGTTTGCCATGTTGTTTAGCTGTACAAGATAATAGATTCTAAATAGAAATGCACTTACTAATCTTAAGATTCAACTAACACTGTTTCTTAGGAGACATTCTCTCCTTTTGTTTTCTAGGGTAATAGTTAGGCATCAATAATACTTATTGTTGGAGCGATGAACTTTCCAGAAAGAAGGCACACAGCCGGAAGGGTGCAATAGGCTATCAGAGCAATGGAAGTGAATGGGTACATAATGGTGTTAATATAAGCAAGTCTATCTAGCAATTTTAGGTTTCTTCCATAACCATACCAAAGTGGACAATGATGACTAAGGAAGATTTCGACAGAACCAAGAGCCCATCTCAAGACTTGGTGCAACCTATCTGATAGATTGATTGGAATTGAGCCCTTGAAACAAGTTGCTTGGGTGTACAGTACATTGACCTCCATCCTCTACAATGCATCTTGAACCTGTCAAAATATCTTCTGTAACTGAACCGTAAATCCATCCAATCTGTGAATTAAAAAAAGTGTCCATGAAATGTTTCTTTTCTGATGAGTAAAACAATTTCAATTGTACTTAAAACTAATATCAAGTTTCAATCTTATTTTATTTCAACTTTTTAACAATTCAGATTGTTGTTGATTAATCAGAAAGAGGTTAAAGACTTTGAAACTTCACAAAAGGCCAAGTGTTAATGCTAACCTCTTTGTCCCATTTAGTTTTCTCTTCATATCTACAACTAATAACATAAATGACTTCTTTTATAAGAGAACCGGGGTTAGTTCCCTCAGTGAGACCACCATCTTCCATGAGAGTGGAAGTAATGAAAATTAGTGACATTCCAAACCGTTTTTTCAAAGTTCTTTTGGGACATGAGCAATGATTTTTCCAACTCGTCATATTCTTCAAGCCCTTCTTCAATCTCTTCAAGATCAAATACTGTTCCAAAAGATCTCCTAGTGTAATGTTTGCCTATCATTTTCTTCTTACTAAATAATCCTACAAGGCCAAACATAGCCTTGAATCCTTTTCTTAGCCTTTGACTTTTTCCTAGGCCACTTCTCAGACACAGGTGGATCATAACCATATAATGTTTGCCTATTGAAAACATACCCAGTGCCAACATATACAAGCCCTTTGTTACCATCTAGGCCTTTCATGTTGATCTGTTACCAAAAAAGGTAATTCCACAATTTTCAGATTTAACAGCTAAATTATTATCCTATGTTGACGGATGAAGGCAGTGTGACACTTTTGTTGTCACCAAACCAATGTTTTGTGTTTACATGTTTTTGGTTGTAACCTAATTTAAATTATTATTATGTAAAAGTTAGGCAAGTTTGGACCTACTATAAATTAGCATGCTGTCAAGTATGATTTAGTGGTAATAGGTAGGATAGTTGGTAATGGAAAACATTTTTGAATTGTACTCAATGATGAATGTATAAAGCAGCCGTGAAAAAACCATTATTCATATATGAAAATCTCTGTTTTTTCCTCCTCTTGTTTATGTAAAAACCATCAGTGGTATCAGAGCCTAAATCAGATCTCAGAGGAAGAAGAAAAGGTTGTCGACAGATTTATGAGAGAAGACTAGTGAGGAACATTTCACCAAAAACCTTTCACCATATTAGCTGAGTGATTTGAGAGTTATAGTGATGGCTTTAGGCAGTTTTTTTTAGCTCCTTTGCCTTCGGTGTTCATAGGAGAGAAATACGATTTTTGGGCTATAAAAATGAAGCTTATCTGAAAGCCTATAACTTGTAGGAAATCACAGAATCAAGTACAGAACCACCACCTCTTAAAGCAAATCCTACTATAGCTCAACTAAAGCAACATAGTGAGGAGGTTGTAAAGAAGTTCAAGGCTTTGTCTTGTATTCAATCAGCCGTTTCAGATGCAATCTTTACCAGGATCATCACTTGTGAAACTGCGAAGGAGGCCTGGGACAAATTGTTAGAAGAGTTTAGAGGTAATGCAAGAACAAGAAAAATGCAAGTTCTCAATCTTAGAAGGAAGTATGAGACCTTGAAAATGAAAAAGTCAGAATCTGTTAAAGATTTCTTTGATAGGCTGATGAAAGTGGTGAATAAAATAAGGTTGTTGGAGGATGAACTACCTGATAAACATGTTGTGGAAAAGGTTTTGATCAGTTTGCCTGAGGAATTTGATGCAAAAATATCCTACCTTGAAGACTCTAGAGATCTATCCACTCTAACTTGTGTGAATTGATAAATGCTTTACAAGCTATTGAGTAAAAGAGGTTGTTCAGGAAGGAAGAAAAAGTTGAAAGAGCCTTGTTTGTCAAGGGAAAATATAAAGCTCAAACAAGCTTTGGAGTGAAGAGGTATAAGCCTGAGAAGAAGAAGGTTGAAGGCAACAAAATTGCTGGAAAAAATGATGGTTATCCACCATGTCCTCACTGTAAGAAAATCGGCCATTCTCCCAAATGGTGCTGGTATAGACCAGGAGTCCAATGTAGAGCATGTAAGCAATTCGGGCATGTTCAAAAGGTCTGTAAAAACCAGAAGGACAAGCAGGAATCACAGCAGGCACAAGTAGCAGAAATTCATCAGCAAGAAGAACACTTGTTTATAGCAATGAATGTAAGAGCTTGCAGCAGTGATGAAACCTGGTTGTTTTATAGTGGATGTACTCATCATATGACCTCCAATCCTATTATATTTGTTAAGTTAGATAAAGGCTACAGATCAAAAGTTAAAGTTAAGAATGGAGAGTTTGTGGAAGTGAAGGGAGTTGGTGAAATTTCAGTGCAGACTTTATCAGGTATTAAGTATATTTCTGATGTTCTTTATATACCTAATATTGATCAAAATCTGATTAATGTTGGTCAATTGATTGAGAAAGACTACACTCATTTTTAAAGATAAAGGATGCACCATATTTGATCCTCAAAATCAAGAAGTGATGGCTGTTGGAATGAGGTATAGGAGCTTCCTTTTAGAGTGAAAAAATGTGAATGATCAGGCACTTGTAGGCACTATAATGGAACCTTCTTTATGGCATAAACGGTTTAGACATGCTAACTATACATCACTTAAACAAATGCATGAATTAGAATTAGTTAAAAGCCTGCCTGAAATCAGTAGAGATGATGGATGGATGTGTGTGTGATGTCTGCCGACTTGGAAAGCAAACCAGGTTCCCATTTCCCAAAATTCAGTCAAGAAGAGCTTCAAGTAGGCTGTAATTGATCCATTCTGATGTATGTGGTCCAATCAGAACACCTACTCTAAATGGCAGCAAGTACTTTGTGCTCCTCATTAATGATTTGACAAGGATGTCCTGGGTATATTTTATGAGGTTAAAGTTTGAAGTTGCTAGTGTATTTCAAATGTTCAAAAGCCTGGTAGAAAATGAGGGCAACTGCAGAGTCAAAGCCATCATATCAGACAATAGAACAGATTATTGTTGCAGTCAATTTGATAAATTCTATGAAGATATGGGGATACAACATCAGCTAACAGTTCCTTATTCTCCCCAGCAGAATGGTGTCTGTGAAAGGAAGAACAGAATAGTCATGGAGATGGCCAAGCGTCTAATGTTAGAGAAGAAGGTATCTAAAGAATTCTGGGCTGAGGCAGTGAACACAGCTGTTTACCTTCTTAATAGGTTACCTACAAAATCCTTGGACAAAAAGATTCATTTTGAAGCTTGGTGTGGAATAAAACCTGATGTCTCTCATCTAAAAGTATTTGGCAGCATTTGCTACACTCGTATACCTAATGCAAAGAGGGATAAACTGAGTCAAAAGGCTGAAGTAGGAGTCTTGGTTGGATATTGCAGCAATGCCAAAGGTTACATGGTTTACAATCCTCAAAGCAAGAAAGTGATCTCCAGCAGAGATATCAAAGTGGATGAAGAAGTTTCATAGAATTTGGAATAATGTGCAGACAATCAACCTCAGATTCCAAATGTAATTCCTCAGGCAGTTGATATTGATATCAATGAAGTAGAAGTGGGATCTGATAGTGTTTCAAATTCTGAAAATGAAGTGCTGAAAATTGGCCACTTGCTGATGTATATACCAGATATAATTCAACTCAATTAGAGCCTTCAAACTTTGCTGAAGCTGAAAATTCAAAGGAGTGGATGGTTGTAATGAATGAGGAGCTAAATTTGATAGAGAAGAATGAAACCTAGGTGTTGGTTGATAGACCAAAGGATAAGAATGTGATTGGAGTTAAATGGGTGTACAAAACTAAGCTAAATTCTAATGGTTCAATCAACAAGCTGAAAGCCAGGTTAGTTGTGAAAGGATACACCCAACAATACCGCATTGACTTTATAGATACTTTTGCTCCTGTGGCCAGGTATGAAACTATTAGATTATTATTTACCATTGCTACTCAAAGAGGATGGAAAATACATTAGTTGGATGTTAAATCAGCCTTCTTAAATGGATATATGAATGAGGGAATATTTATTGAACAACCAGATGGCTTCCTTGTAGCTGGAGCAAAGGATAAGGTTTATCTATTAAAGAAGGCCTTGTATGGCTTGTAGTCGGCTCCAAGCGCTTGGTATAGCAGAATAGATGAATATTTGAGCTGCATTGGCAGCATCAAAAGTGATAATGAGCAAACACTTTATATAAAACAAGTGGAGGAAGAATTGATTATCATCTCCTTATATGTTTGACGATGTTCTAATAACAGGCAGCAATCAAATTTTAATTGACAAAGTGAAAGGTGAAATGAAGATGGCATTTGAAATGACAGACCTTGGGAAAATGCAGTATTTTCTTAGCATGGAAATAAATCAAAGACAAGAAGGAATTTTTGTATGTCAAAAGAGATATGCTAAGGAAATGTTGAAGAAATTCAGCATGGAGAACTGCAAACCAGTGAGTATTCCCTTGATACAAAATTTAAAGCTGATAAAGGAAAATGGAAGCAAAAAGTCTGATGAAAAGAACCAGATATCACTTTTGCTACAAATCTGCTCTCCAGATTCAGACAAAAACCAAGTGAAGTACACTTCCAAGCCGCAAAGAGAATTCTTAGATATCTCAAAGGGAATGCAGAGATGGGAATCTGGTTTAGAAGGTCAGAAAATTCAAATTTAATTGGCTATACAAACAGTGATTGGGCCGGTTTCTTTGATGATATGAAAAGCACTTCTGGTTATATATTTTATCTGGGATCAAGTGTTATTTGTTGAAACTCAATGAAGCAGAAAATGGTGTCTCAATCAACTGCAAAGGCATAGTACATTGCTGCATTAGAAGTCACTAATCAAGCTATCTGGTTGAGGAAAATTTTGGAAGATCTTAATCATATACAAACTGATGCAACTGTCATCTATTGTGATAATCAATCAGCCATTGCAATGGTTAAAAATCCGGTATTTCATGGAAGGATGAAGCATATCAAGATCAAGTATCATGAAATTAGACAAGCACAGGAGAATCTTGAAGTGAAGCTGGTGTACTGCAATTCTCTTGATCAACATGCTGATGTTTTGACTAAAGCTTTGCCAAAAGAAAGGTTTGAAACATTAAGAAAATGTTTTGTGTTTCCAACAAAAGTGTCAAAGAGGAGCGTTGAAGGATGATCAAAATTTGGTGTGTGCGGTCGCACGCACCCAAAAGTAATACATTCACCTCTAAAACTAATGTAGTAGTGGAAGTAAGGGTCGATCCCATGAAGAGTATGTAGTTCAATGTTTTATGCTTCGTACAATGATTGGGGGGTTTTGTATTGCAAAAAATTGTAAATAACGCAATTAATAACAATAAAAATTACATTAACGAAAACAATCAAAATCCTAACATTGGTCTAAGTCCACATCCACCATCGGAAA